ATTATCAAGGCAAATCAATAGGGATAGATAAGTAGATTAGTAGTTGCCTGGGGCTGGGAAAAGGGACTGGTTGCAAATAGACCCTAGAGATCCTTTTAGGGTTGGAAATAATCCAAAATTGGATTGTGGTGATGGCTGCACAACTTTGTAAATTTAGTAAAAGTCATTTAAATTGTACACTTAAAAATGAGTCAGGACATCCCCTGGTGGTCCAGTGGTTAAGAATCTGCCTTGCAAGGCAGGGGACATGAGTTCGATCCCTGGTCCAGGAATTAAGAGTCCCCATGTCTCAAGGCAACTAAGCCTGTGTGCCACAAATACTGAGCCTATGCTCTAGAGCCTGTGAGCCCAAACTACACCTGTGCACCCTAGAGCCTGCGCTCGGTAACAAGAGAAGCCACTGCAGTGAGAAGCCTGCTCACGGCAACTAGACAGTAGCCCCTGCTTGCCGCAACTAGAGAAAGCCTGAACACAGCAACGAAGACTCAGTGCAGCCAAAATAAATAGAGTGAATTTTATGGTATAGGAATTACAGTGTAAAGATTTTAAACACAAACGTATGTACTGTACACCAACATGCACACACAGATACTTTCACTTCAAAAATCCCAGAATGCACACAATTTGAGCCATTCTTCCCCTGAAAGTTAGGAATGAGGAAATTTTCACTGTGCAGAACTAGATACAGCCTTTCACATTGCCTGGTATGTTGAAGTCTCATTGAAATTTAATTCCCTACTTGGAATCCTCTTTGTATTCACAAGAGAGGAAACAAACATGGTACAATGGTGTATACTCCATGCAAAAAAGGGAAAGTTGTAAACGGTGCCTAAGCCCCAGGTTATTAATACCTGGAGCAAATGCTTCATTTCCTAAACACAGAAGATACTAATAACTATGTGACTATTATTCATGGTTTTGTGAACTCTGGAGTGGAGTAATATAATCATACTGTCTAAGATTTAATTATAATGACAATTATTTATAATACCATGTAGTAGTATATGTATATGCAATTCCCCTTCTGTTTTATTCAAGCTAATAAATCAGCAAAATCATATTTAAATTTGCTTGATTCTTGGGTAACTTGCTTCTCATTTCTCTATTCAATTTTCACTCTGCACAATCTTGGTGTTTCTGTAAATCTTACAAGTTGAGATCATCAATATTTTCCCCTCTAAGAACGACTAAACAACAACAAAGAACATGAATACTGAGAATGAATAGGACATTACATTATGCAGGAAAATGTCTGGGGTTTTGAAAGCTGTATTTTTTGGCTCATCAATTTAATGAAGGTGGTTTTAAAGAATATAATGTTCAAAATAGCAAAATGAAAAGGTTGAGTAATCAAAATTTATTATTGAAATCAGTGTAGTCTTTCTCTTTGCTTGCAGTAGTAGATTACTTTGTGACAAAACAGTGCAGATTTTTGGGGGAAAGTGAATATATTTTTATTTATTTTAAAATTCCCTGGGTACAGTGGATAGAAATCCACCTGCCAGTGCAGAAGACACGGGTTCAATCCCTGGTCTGGGAAGATTTCACACAACTTTCAGCAACTAAGCCCATGTACTGCAACCACTGAGGCCATATGCTGCAACTACTGAAGCCCATGTGCCTAGAGCTTGTACTCTGCAACGAGAAGCCACTGCAATGAGAATCCCATGCAGAAGAGTAGCTCCCGCTAGCCACAACTAGAGAAAGGTTTGTGCACAGCAACAAAGACCCAGTGCAGCCAAAAATAAATTCTCTACTGGTTTATTTTAGACCAGATGGTTTTGAGGAAACTTCCAGAAGAGACACTTTATGATTCCATACATATTTAATACAATTGCATTGCCTTATCATCCTGCACACAAAGTCTATTCCTGCCTCAGGGCCTTTGCACTTGCTATTCCCTCTACTTGATAGATCATTCCCTAGATGGTCATGGTCCACTCCCTAACTTAAGTCCCTGCTCAAATATCACTTCCTCAGAGCAGTCTTCTCTGATTAACCCACCTAAAAATAGCACACAGTCACTAGCCTTTTAGCTTGCTTTCTTTCTCTGCACAGCATTTAGCTGTCTGTCTGACCTTATATGCTTGCCTTACTAGAATGCAAGGTTCATGAAGGCAGGGACCACATCATATTCGTTGTTATATCCCCAGATTCTTATATATTCCCCACATAATAATTGCTCAAGACATATTTCTTGAATTAATTACATGAATTTTAATTTGACTTTGAATATTTACTTTTTGCCTCCCTAACCAGACAATGCCTTCATGGAGGGCAGGCAAAAGTCTTGGTTGCTTATTTATCATCTCTAAAATGATTAGCTCAATTCTGCAAGGCTACTAGACATTCAACCAAAGTTTACTGAATGAATGCCTTGGAGCATGGGTGTGTGATACGGCTGACCAGTCAGCGTTGCCGGCAGGTGAACAAGAAAAGTAATGTCTCACCTTTCAGCCCATATTTTACAAAATATACTTTTATGTATACCAATTCATCTGATCATTTTGTCAATACTTTACTAGGTCTTAAGGTCTGCCTGAAGAAACAAGCACTCAAAGAGAACAAGTGTTGATTTCCGACCTTTCGGTCAGTTCAGTCTCTCAGTCACATATGATTCTTTGGGACCCCATGGACTGCAGCATGAAAGTCTTCCGCGTCTGTCAGCAATTCCCGGAGCTTGCTCAAACTCACGTCCATCGAGTTGGTGATGCCATCCAACCATTTCATCTTCTCTCGTCCCCTTTTCCTCCTGCCTTCACTCTTTCCCAGCATCAGGGTCTTTTCAAGTGAGTCAGTTCTTCGCATCAGGTGGCCAAAGTATTGGAGCTTCAGCTTCAGCATCAGTCCTTCCAGTGAATCTTCAGGGTTGATTTCCTTTAGGATGGACTGGTTGGACCTCCTTGCAATGAAATGCCACCGCAGTGAGAAGCCTGAGCGCTCCAACTAGAGTAGCCCCCACTTGCCACAACTAGAAAAAGCCCAAGTGTGGCAACAGAGACCCAGCACAGCCAAAAATAAAATAAAAAATGAAAATTAAAAAAGCTAATAAAGACTGTCTTGAAACATATATATGCATGGAGAGATTTTTTGAAAAGCGTTTATTAGTCTTCACGGTAGTTATTTCTAGACAGTGGGAACTTGCTAATGTTTACATTTTTTGACTTTGCATTTCTCTCATTTGTATTTTTAAAGCCAATTTGAAGTTGTGAAAATAAAGTTTTTTTTTTTCTATACAATGCTTTATTTTTTAATTTGTCAATGTGAATAGCATAAAAAGTATCACTACTCATTTTCCTGGCTATGTAATTCTCAGAACACAGCAAACTTCATTCTGAGACAACTTTTAATACAGATTTATAGTAAAGCAATAACAAATAAATAGAATGAACCAAAATTCTTTAGGTTTTTTTTTTGTGTGTGTTTTCTATATTTATGCCCATGTTATTCTCTGATCAAGAAAAAAGGTAGAGTGATGTTTTATAATATATCTTCATCTTTGCCAAAAAAACCTTTCCAGGATATTGAGCTCCCCAAACAGGCCAAAATCGGGCGTTAGGGACTCATTCTGGACTTTGGACCAAACTTAGAGGGCACACGTGAAATATGCTCATTTCGTTTCCTTTTTTCTTTTGATGATTTGAAATACTTAAAACCCCCTTTTGCTTGTCTTTCACCGCAGGGATTTGTGGAAAAAATCTGCTGGTGCCAACAATATGGTCCCCAAATTAGGCTTAAAAGGTTTTGGGTTTTCTTTAATTCTGAACCAAGAAGGGTTTTTCATGGTTGCTGATGCACCTTCGGGCACGTGAGGTTTCTTCACACGCTGAGTGGCTTGTGCGTCTGCGTGTGTTTATGTGTGCAAGTCTTTGTAAAGTGGGTTGGGGTGTGTGACGGTGGTTTTGAGCCCACGGCTTACGCACTCTACGAAGAAGCGCGTCCAGCCCTGTAGGTGGGAGCAGGTTTATCCAGTCTCGGGGTCGCGTGGGGAAACCCTCCACCGAGTCCTGCGGCTCCCAGCCCTGGCCAGGGTGCGGCAGGGAGGGCGCTGGGGGCAACCGGGTGGCCAAGCAACAGAGGAACCAGCGCAGCCTGCGCCTGGGCAGGGTCCCGGACACGTGCTCTGCTGGAGAGAGGGACTCACTTTCCGCCCTCTGGAACGGTGCTTAGAGCGGAGATCTATCCTGGGAGGGGTTAGAGAAGCCCGAGGGTCCGGGCGCTGCAGCCTGGGGGAGGGGACAGTGGGCGGGGCGGCACCGCCTACAATCTATTCCCTGCGGAGCTGGCGGCGACCTCCGTCCGGTCTCACCCAGCCTCGGGGGCCAGGGAACTGAGGCTGGAGGCGGCACGCGCGTCGGGGCGCCCTGACGCCCAGGTACGTACGACCCCCACCTCCCGTCCCTAGACGGGGTCGGGACGGTTGGACCGGGCGGTTGCGGCTCCCAGACGCGCCGCACCTCAGCCTCTGTGACGCACGGCGCGGCCTCTGGCGCTGGACTGGCGGCTCGGCCCGGCGGGGGCGGGGCAAGCGCGGGAGGGGGGGCGGGGCGGGGCGGGGCGGAGCGAGAGGGGCGGAGCCGACGGAGGCCCCGCCCCGGGCCCGGAGGAGCAAGGACGCTACGGAGCAGGCGCGTCCCCCGCCCCCCACCGCCGCCGCCGCCGCTGCCGCGCCGCCGCCGCCGCCGCCGCCGCTCGCCCTTCTCAGGAGCTGCTGCCGCCATTTGCACGGGGACCCCGGTGACAGGGGCTCGGCAGAGGGGCGGAGGGAGGGGGGAGGGCCCGCAGAGCCCCCGAGGGCGGGAGCGACGCCGCCGGCGCCGGCCGGGCTCCTTGAGCGACCGCGCCGCCCGCGGCGGGCCCCAAGCAGCAGCAGCAGCGGCAGCGGCGGCAGCAGCAGCAGCAGCAGCAGCCGAGGCCGGGCGTGCGCCTGAGGCGCGGCGGCGGCGGCGGCGGCCCTGCGGGCAGCCGGGAGGGGCGGGGGCAGCGGCCGCCGCCGTTTGATGGATCCGAGGATCGCCTGGTTCCAGCCAGAGCAGCTCGGACCGTCCAACAGTCTGTGGATGCAGATCTGGGAGACCACCCAGGGACTGAGGAACCTCTACTTCAACCACCACTGTCACAGCAGCGGCGGCGCGAGCGGCGGCGGCGGCGGCGGCGGCGGCAGCAGCAGCACGGCCACCGGCGGGAGCGGCAGCAGCACCGGCAGCCCCAGCGGCGCGGCCCCGGCCCCGGCCCCGGCCGGCATGTACCGCTCCGGGGAGCGCCTGCTGGGCGGCCACGCGCAGCCGGCGGAGCAGCGGGACTTCCTGCCCCTGGAGACGACCAACAACAACAACAACCACCACCAGCCCGCGGCCTGGGCCCGTCGAGCCGCCGCGGGCCCCTCGGCGTCCCCGTCCCCCTCGGCGTCCCCGTCCCCGCACTCCTCGACCGCCGTCCCCGCCGCGGAGCCCGCGGACCCAGCCTCGGGCAGCAGCAACAAGAGGAAGCGGGACAACAAGGCTAGCACCTACGGACTCAACTACAGCCTGCTGCAGCCCAGCGGAGGGCGGGCCCCGGGGGGCGGCCGGGCAGACGGCGGCGGGGGCGTGTACAGCGGGACCCCGTGGAAGCGGAGGAACTACAACCAGGGAGTCGTGGGGTGAGTGGTGGCCTTGCGGCCTGGTGGCCTGGCCCTTGCACACGCGCAGCCGGGCACACGCCCACAGAAAGGGGGCTGGGGGGGGAGCCTGGGTGAGGCCCCCCCAACCTCGGCCTGCCTTAGTTACTGGTCCTCAGGGGGCTGATGGCCATCCCTCCTCCGTCCACACCTTCCCCCAACCTTCGTTAGCAGTCCACACCTTTGCCCCCTCCCTCTCAGCTCCACGCCTTTTCTGGACATCCTCTCAACCCTCCACACCCTCCCCTCACCTCCCTTAGTCATTCACAGCCTCCTTCCTAACCGTTCACATCTTCCCTGGACCACCTCCCCCCACCCCCGATCCATCCACTCTTTCTTCCCATCCCCCCCCCCCCCCCCCAGTCAAACACACCTCTCTCTTCTCTCCCCAGCCCTCTAGCCCTCCCCACCCTGCCCCCCATCATCACACCCCAAAATGAAGTCGCTTAGTACAGGCAAATCATTCATTCCCTGAGAACATTCCTGTGTTGGTGCCTTTCCACGGTACCGGACCTGGAGGTGCTTTCCTTGCCAAGAATAGAAACATCCAGAAAGCTCCTCCCCCTCCCCCAATCCCAAACAGGAATCGTGGCAGCCCTGAAAGGCTTTGCTGGCTATTGACCCTTTGGCCCATCTCTCTATGTTTTGTTTCTTAGAATTTCCTATGTTAGTGATGCCTTGCTGTGTCCAGAGTGAGGAATGAGGTGACAGTTAAGCTTAGGCTGGTGGAGATGGTGAGCTCTTCTTTTCAGGCGGATGGAACTTTCTAGGAGTTCATGGTCTTTGGCCCCAGTTTCTCGCTGTCAAGTTGTCATCCTGGCAGAGACAGCCAATGCTTTTCATTCTAACTTTATGCTAATAAGTGAATGTTGCACCACTAATGACTTTCTGTTTAAAGTTCAGCTGTTACAAAATGGAATCTTACCTGACCCCTAGTGAATTGTGTACGTAAGCAGGGACTGGTTCCAGGTAGATTTCCCCTGTGCTGGGATAGATTACGAAGTCTTTTTAGAAACATTTTGTAAAATGAAGGTTTTGGACTATGTGTGTGTAGCTTGAGTATGGAGAATGAGCTTTAAAATTGCTTTTCACATTTCAGATCCTGTTTTACATCGTGGGTTACAAGTAGGCAAATGAAATCACCATTAATAGTCCCTTGTGGAACCTTTTCTTAGATTCACCCATTCAGATCTGCCCTGCTTTGGCAAGCAGAGAGAGTTCTGTGTACCTTTTTGAAGGTCCGGGTAAAATGAGTTGGTGGGTTCCATCTGCTTCTAGTGGGCTGGTGTCTGCTCTATGCTACTACTACAACTCCCACCCTTTATGGGAAATGCAGTCAAGCGTTTTAAGACTGGCACTGGGGTACATGTCAAACCTGTCCTCACTTTCCATGGGGGAATCATTTTGGGTTGAGTCCTCTATTGCTAAGCTTCAAGGGCGCTCTCCATGGTCATCTTCTTTCAATAAAAGGCTCATGGTTCCATCCTGATAGCATTTCTAAGATGAAGCATAAACCTGTGGTTTGATGACAGGCAAATTGATATTGAGGGATTCTGATAGTTTCATTTCACAGGAAAAAGCTCCAGTTAAGTCATCACTGCCAGTTAAAACCTCCAAGTTCCCTAATTTCGTTTTACTGAAGCATCTGCATATGTATGTAGCAAAGGTGTATTCTACATCCAAAATGCTGGCTGCCTCTCTTTTTGATAGCTTAGAAATTCCTTTTTTACTTGCTAATTTAATGTTGAGGATACTGTAAAAGGCTCACATTTGAATTTAGGTAGAAGCAAGATACTCTTAGTCCTGGATTCAAATACTATATTGTCCTCAAAGGGATTAAGGAGAGGAATTTCCATTTCCAGAGTAATTGCTGTTTAAACACAGATTGTAAACCTATCTTAAAACTGATTATCGATTCATCATTCTTTTGCCGCCTCCTTTAGAAGATGTCAGCAGTTAAATTTTTTAAATTTTATTAAGTGGGACCTAAGTGTTTTGTAAAGAGTGTCCCAGTGCTTAAAAATTCTTTTTGTGATTTATGGATCCTTATTTCTTAACTTTTAGAAAAGTCTTGCTGTTTTTAATACAGGTATTTAAAACTGAATTCAGAATGCACCTCAGTGTTGTGCTATTCCGAGATTAAGTATAGTAGAACTATTGCGAGTTCTTGGGGTGTGACTGACATTTAGCTAATAGGTTAAAAAATTGTTGTGGTCCTTGGCCTCTGAACTGGCATGACTGTCTGGGTAGGGAGAGGAAGAAAAAGCGCTTGAACAGTGGGCTGGAACCCTGGGGCAGCTGGATACACACTGTGTCTCACATCTGTGATCTGTCTGTGTTCTGTTTTGCCACAGCAGGTTGACTTACTCCCTGAACACTCCAAGATACAGTTCAGAATCCTGAGTTCATTGCTCATGTTCTTGATTTTTTTTGTACTTTCTCTAAAACCTTGTAGCGCTTGTTTCATGCTTTTGGTATAGTTTGCTTATGTTTAATTTTCCTTTTACGTATATGTTTTCTCTTATCCACTAGGTCGCTAGTTAAGATGAAACTTCTTTCTTCCTTTCTTTTTTTAGTTGAGGTAAGATGGAAATTTCTTAAATGTAGAGTAAGATGTTTGCATAGCAGCCTGAGGTCCTCATAATCCTCTTTCAAAAGGACTCCTCTCATCCGAGTTTACCATCTCAGCCTTTGCCAGGTATCGCTGATCCAGGGAGTTTGTTTGCTTTCCTTTTTTTCTTTATAAAGTTGCTTTCACTTATTCTACTTTTGGGGATTCATTCCCTTCCGACACTGGCTATGGTGTAGGAAGAAGTCCACCTGCTCCTGGTTGTTCATGAAAATGAGCTTTAAGCTCTTTTCAAAGATTTAATTGTTGATCATCATGGAAAAAGGAGAGAAGACAAAAAGTAGCAAACATAGGAAACTTTTGGAGATTCAGAGTCCTTGGTCCTGAGCCCAGGTGTCCAGAAGCTTCCTTTAGAAGGTGCTTGGTGCTCGTTCAAGCTCATGAGGATAGGTTTATGTTGGCTACGTGGCCAGAGCTGTAGATACTTTTCCAAGGCTTGGATGACTTGTTCAAAATAATGTTTTGGAGTATGATTTTGACAGTGTGACATCAAGAAGTCTCTGCTGGGAAACTTGGGTTTAAGGAATAATTTCTTGAACTGGAATGATGGGGATGGAAATGGGAAAGAATGAATGTGAGAGGTACTACAAGGTAAGAATGGAAAAGATTCTAACTCCCTTCATGGATTTAAATCCATGTTATTAATAACAGCTTTGAATTTGAGTGACTGGGGAAATGTTAATGTTACTGTTGAACATAAGGATTAAAACCATTGGTTTGGAGCAAAAGGTACGGTGATGTTTAGATGGAACTGTCTAGCAGGGGGATGAAATTTGGGGGCTGAGATATAGTTGTTTTCACTGCAGTGGGGCAGTGTCCTTCCTTGTGAATGTTGTACAGCGTAGCACAGTTAAGTCCAAGATGCTGACACCGTTCTTCAGCACTGACCTTATGGCCTCTTTCTATTTCTACACAATATGATCAGTGGGATTGATGTTAGTGCTGGCTCCAAAGTGATTGGGCAGATTAACATGAAAGAATTTAGAGGCCTTAGTCCAAGGACTTGTTCTAAGTATAATTTGGTGGTGCTAGTGGTAAAGAACTCGCCTACCAACGCAAGAGACATAAGAGATGCTCGAGCCCTGGGTGGGGAAGATCTGATGGAGAAGGAAATGGCAACCCACTCCAATATTCTTGGCTGGAGAATCCCATGAACAGAGGAGCCTGATGGGCTATGGTCCATAGGGTCGGAAAGAGTCGGACACAACTGAAGCGACTTAGCACATAATTTCTGTGTATTTTCATATGTAGCCCACAGGAATTCTTCAGTGCGCTAGAACCTTCAGCTTATTGAATTTTTCTGTATTTGGGTGCTGAAGTGTGCTTTCAAGAAGACATTAGGTTTTCTGCATTGTAGATTCTACACTAACAATGTAATTCGTATTTGAGAATCTCACATCTGGTATACTGTGTACAACTAAGCTGCTTCCATGCCACAACTTATCTGTCTAAAATCTGTGACGATGAACAGTGTCACCCTGTCAGAATCATTGGCATTTTAGCCTGTGGAATTTTTCTTCAGTACCCTTAAGTTTTTAGGTGTTGAAAGGCAAAAGGGAACAGTGACTGGAGCTTTCTGGAGTCTACCCTGGGTTCACACACAGCTTCACACACACCGAAGGTTTAGCTTCTTTTGGAAATGAAGCGTAAGAAAGGGATACCAGGAAAGTCTTAAGGTGGGGAGGAGGTGGGCGTGTGTGTTACAGCAGTCCGGGCCTGGTGTGATAGATGGCCTTACGTTACAACTTCTTCCATGAAACCCTTACCAGTAAATCCTAGTGTTAGGAGTCTACAAGGTCCATGGGAAGAAAATATACGGGCTCCCTTGCTGATACTGAACTGATCAGATAGTTGTGGTTAGGTATTCTTATACCTGTTGAAGCTGAGAAAAATTTAAGGCACTTTTCTAGGGAAAGTAGAAAAGCAAGGTGTTGTGTGATTTTACTGAACTTTCTACTTTTCCTTTAGAATAAAATTTAGTGGAGAAAACTGTTTCAGGGTCACACCCACTGCACTGAAGACTGTTAATCATTTATGCACACATAGGTATGGAGTAGTGTTGAAGGGGCTGTAGGCCAGAGAGGATGCTCATTGGAGAATTAGGGTCCAGCTCCCAGCAGCTGACTGAGGCTCCTGTTTTGACCCTTTCCTGCAGAGCTGGCTGAATAGCTCAGCCTGCTTCAGGAATTCAGAGGACAGCCAATAGAATGTTCTTCGCAACCCTCAGAATATTTGTTAGGGACTCAGTTGCTGCAGAACACCAAAAAGACTTGCAATTCATTTTTACTATTTTTTGACATGACACAAAATCATTTTTTTCTAAGAGTATTTATTGATGTTGAGGATGCCCTCA